TCATCATGTGGCAGCCGAATCCACCAGTCTCTCAGTGGAACAGTGAGGAGGGGAAGTGAACCATGGGGGCGGGAAGACAGAGATCTTGGAAATCACCATGGTTTTCAGTTAAAAGGAGTTGGGTTGTGATTCCCCAAGGAAGCAACAAATATGTTCTATATTTCTTTTACATATTTTTAGACCTTGTACTAACCCTTACTGTGGAAGCCATGTCTGAACTAGAAAAAGTAGAATACCCTCCATGGACCTAATGAAATGAGATAATGCACAGAGAGCCTCACACAGTTCCTAACAGAGTGTTTTATGTTTAACAAGCGTATTCTAACTATTGGTATTATTTACCTAGTTTTCCTACCAGCTTTATCCATAATTCTCTCAAAATATAAGAATAATTGTTAAGCATAAAGTTATGAGTAAAGACATTCTTGCTTCTCTCATTTGTTTTTTGTGTTTTTAAACTCATTTAAGACTCTTAAGGCCTGAAACATTCGTGTTGAGTTTTCTAATGCCCTGGGAGTATAGGGCTATTTTTCACCTCTAAATTCTCTGTTTACTACATCACAGAGAAATAGTATACTTAAAATTCAGTATAGATAGATTCTGACCTAGTCACTTAAAAACCAATTTAAATAGTAATTTTAAAATGCAATAAAGACAGAGAAAAGTATATTTTTCAGTTTTCTGCATTTGGGAAACTCCTGTATTTTTCTTAAATTTCCATTTATGATATCCTTTGAATAGTGAGAGTGAAAATGAGATATAAAACTTTTTTTTAAAGACTTGTTTGAGAGTCTTTAAAAAGGGGCGCCTGGGTGGCTCAGTGGGTTAGAGCCTCTGCCTTCTGCTCAGGTCATGATCTCAAGGTCCTGGGATGGAGCCCTGCATCCGGCTGTCGGCTCAGTGGGAAGCCTGCTTCTTCCTCTCTCTCTGCCTGCCTCTCTGCCTACTTGTGATCTCTGTCTGTCAAATAAATAAATAAATAAATAATTTAAAAAAAACTTGTTAGAGAGAGAGAGCAAAACACGGGGGTGGGCTCTGGGAGAGGGAGAGAGAATCCCAAGCCAACTCTGAGCTGAGGGTGGAGACTGAAACGGAGCTTGATCTCACAGTCCTGAGATCACAACCTGAGCCAAAACCAAGAGTCAGACACTCAACCGACTATACCGCCCAGGTGCCCCAAAACTTTTTTTTTAGTTGAGAGCACTGTTTGTTTAGTAGGGCAAACTTATGGAAATCTACAAACACAGGAATTTAATAATGTTATCTCCCAGTCATGGGAATAACAGCTGGATTTCTTTTTCTTTTTCTTTTTTTTTTTTGCCTGTGACCTTCCTAAAAATTTTTTTACAATGAATGTTTGTTTAAGATAGTAAATATTTCAGGGTGCCTGGGTGGCTTAGTCTGTTAAGCACCCAACTCTTGGTTTTAGCTCAGGTCATGATCTTAGGGTCATGAGATTAAGCTGAATGTTGGGCTCCCTGGTCAGTGAGGAGTCTGCTTGAAGATTCTCTCCCACTGCCCCTTCCCCTTCCACTCACTCTCTGTTTCTTTCTCTCGCTCAAATAAATAAAATAAATCTTTTTTAAAAATAGTAAATTTTTCAAGAATGTGGAAGAACTGGAGTTCTCCTATCATGTAAGATGATACAATCACTTTGGAAAATAATTTGACAGTTTTTTTAAAAAGTTAAACATATACTGGCCATATAACCCAGCCTTGGGTATCCTAAGTATCTACCTAAGAGAAAATAAAATATTTCTATACAAAGACCTGTACACAAATATTCATAGCAGCTTTATTCATAATAGCCAAAAACTGGGAACAACAATCATCCATCAATGGGTGACTGGAAAAAACAAATTGTGGTATACCCATACAGGGTAACACTATCAGCATTAAGCAAGGAAGGAAGTACTTTACATAGCAACATGGATGAAATAATTGTGCTGAATGAAAGAGACCAGACCAGAAAGTATACTGTACAATTTCGTTTATATAAAACTCTAGAAAAGGCAAACTAATCTAGAACAGAAAGCAGATGTGTGGTTTCGGGAAGGTGCAGCATATGGGAGAGTCAGGAGCATAAAGAAAGTTTGGGGTTGGTGGATATGAGTTTATCTTGAGTTTGATGATGATTTCATGGATGTATACATATTTTAGACTATACAGTTTAAGTACAGTTTATTGTATGTCAATTATACCTGAATAAAGCTGTTAAAAAAAAAGCACAGATACTTGTGTTGTTGTCAGGCAGAAGAAGGATGAAGTGCTTGAACAGAAAGAGAAAGAACAATACTAAAGTGGAAAGGAAATAGGAATGGGTTAATGCTCAAGTGAGTTGAGTTGCACCTGAGTGGACTTTAGTCAGCGGTTTTCTGAGATGGGTCCATCCAACAGTCAGGAGAGCCAGGCCCACTCAAGAGGAGAAGACACCAAGCATAGGTGGGACATTTGTGCCAGGGCTTTTTCAAATGTTATGTCATTAGTTCCTTGCAATTCGAAGTGTAGTCTGTACATCACTGACATCAGCAAAACCTAGGCATTCTTAGAAATGCAGGCTCTTGGGCCCATCCCAGACCTATTAAACCAGAGTCTGCATTTTAATAATATCCTCGGTGATCCATATACAAATTAAAGTTTGTGAGGCTCCTGACCCAAACTACACAACAATCTAGAAGGTAGGTGTTACTTTCATTTACAGACAAGGAGACAGAGAGGTAAGATACTTGCCCACATTCATACTGGGCTGGGATTCAAACATTAGTCCATCTGAGTCCAAAGGCCCCATAATTTCCACTAGAAAATCGCTTTCAGAGAAGGAGTTCAGGGGAAGGATTCATTGGTTGGCTTGGAGATCTGGGCAAGGATTAAAAGTAGATGAGAAGGTAAGGGGAAGTAAATAAACAAGAACCAGCACCAAGATGTATAGGAGTATTTCTTAACATTTTTTTTTCTGCCCACAAAAGTAATATATACACATGATTGGAACATACTAAAATTGGAACATACTAAAAACTATAAAGAAGAAAATCAGGGGCATCTGGGTGGCTCAGTCATGTAAGCATTTGCCTCCAGCTCAGGTCAGGATCTAAGAGTCCAGAGTCAGGCTCTAGGCACAGCAGGAAATCTGCTTTTCCCTCTGCCCTTCTCCCTGCTCACGCTGTCTCTCTCTCTCTCTCTCAAATAAAATCTTTTTTAAAAAGAGAAAAAATTAAAACTGGTAATCCTACAACCCAGAGATGACTATTATTAAATGGTTTAACTTAAGGAATCTGAAGATTGCTGCCTTACCAAAAGTACACCCTGGTTAGGTCTATCGATATGGAGACTGAAAATCCTCAGTCTTTTGTGTTCAGTTCCATTAAATGAAGCAAATGTCAGTTAAGTGTAGGCTTTGTGGAAAATCCTGTAACAATAAAGCAAAAAGGGACAACAGACTGACCACCAGGAGATTCCAGTCTTGAGTTAAAATCAGCACAATAATTAGTTTATTAGCACCCACCTAAGGTGTGGGTGCTGATTGACTTCTGAGATTTGAGAGCTGTTACATAAGGCAACAGGACCAAAGGAAATGGAACACCGTGCGAGTGGGTTTTGTTTTTTTTTTTTAATTGATTGCTGCTAAGTCAGACATAGGAGGTGGGAAATAGGAGGGGGGAAAATACTTCACAAGAGCCATAGCAACTAAGTACTATTATCGTTATGTGAAGGAGAGTACACGGGGAGACAAAAGAGAGTTGAAATATCTGGATGGTGGAGAATCTCTGCCTCGGGCTTCTGTGTAACCACCAAGCTCTCTCAATTCCCAATTTGTTTTTATTGGGAAAAACATATACATTTGGTATGAAAAACATCAAGCGCTACAGACCTATAAAATTCCAATTTCTCTCAAATCCTTTTGAGAGTAGTGACCACAGTATTTAACATACTTTTTGTTTTTAATTACAAGCCCAACACATAAATGTATGCCCATTGGAAGAATGCAAAGTAAAAGTGAAAGTTCCCTCATCTGTCTCTTATTTCACTCTCCTCCCCTCAGAAACCACAAAGGTGTGGTGCTTATCCTGCCATCGATAGACATTGTGTATAGTTTGGAAAGTGAGGAATTTTAAAATTATGACTACAAAGACTGTTATAGTTTGGAACACAGCACCCACCATAAGAGGGATTAGAGGCATCATCGATTGTCGGCTTGGATGAAAAAAAGTAAATGCAGAAGCCAAAACTCCCTAACTGTGCGGGTATAACAGGACAACCCCAGGAGCCACGGATTGGGCACCATCCCTGGGGATATTACACCCACTGACTAAATTACTGGAACGACCACTTCAAGCAATTTTTTCCCTCGTAGGTCCTCGGGTCTGCATCTCACTTTCCGTTTAAAAACTACAGAATTCTGGAGCACTTGGGTGGCTCGCTTGGCTAAGCATGTGCCTTCAGCTCAGGTCACGATCCCAGGATTCGGGCTCCAGCCCCTGGGTGGAGCCCCCAACCTGCAGTGGAGCCCGGCCTGCTCAGTGGGGAGTCTGCTTCTCCCTCTCCCTCTGCCCTTCCCCCTTGCTCATACTCCCTCTCTCAAATAAATAAAACCTTTAAAAAATAAACAATACTCTTTCAAATGCTCCTTTTCTCTTTTGGTAAATTTCTCTAAACCCCAGCTTCCCACTTTCCAGCTCACTTAGCTGATACTGGCCAGTTGGTATATGTGGTCTTCCCTGTTGTCCCCTGCTATGCTGGATCTGCATCTGATTCTATGCTCTCTCCTCTCTGATGTCTTGGACCTTTCTAAACTCTTCTCCTTCCCCCCCACCACTGTTAGGTGTCCAGTAGTCAGATGCCACTTTGTTCTTTGCTCAGAAGGCAGGGACTTGCTAAAAACTCTTCTTCCAAAAGAAGACTATAAAGAAACCAGGAAGAATTGTTTATTTTTAAAAATCAGTAATTTAAAACAAAAAGAAAACACCAAAATGCAAGAGATGTATACACAAGAGCCACCATACACACAATGGCCACAGTCAAGATACAAAGGAGGAAGTCAGACAACAGAAGTTTGGTGAGTTTGTGATATTTTTTCCTTATTTTATTATTTATTATCATCATTATGACTGTAGATCAATGTGTCACAAATGAGTTTGCTAAAAGGCAATTTATCATTACTAAAAACAGCCAAAAATCTTTTTATCCTATGACCAATGACAGCAAAACCAGAGACGGAATTGACCCCTCTGGCCACTCGATGCCCTGAGGATGTGGGTGGGTGAGATGGGCTCCACCATCTACCCCAAGAGGCCATGACAGGTGGAAGGTGGTTCAGTGAGCTTATACTCAGAGTTTAGTGAGGGGAAGGGAGGGTTCCACAAAATTTGGATCATTCTATACATATGAACTGAACTTGATTATTTTAGTTCAATAATATAGCTATTTTCTATGTTATTATATACAGAACTGGTTTCTTATTATTTTTTTAAGGTTTTATTTATTTATTTGAAAGAGAGAGAGAGCATGAGAGGAGAGAGGTCGGGGGAGCAGCAGACTCCCCGCTGAGCAGGGAGCCTGATGTGGTACTTGATCCCGGGACTCCATGGTTCTGACCTGAGCCAAAGGCAGTCGTTCAACCAACTGAGCCACCCAAGCACCCTGGTTTCTTATCATTAATAATTTTAGACGTTTCTCCATGTCACACCTTGTGGTAGGCAGAATAATGCCCCACCCACCCAGTTGTTCATGTCGTAATCACTGTGAATGTTGTAAGGGACTTTGTAACTCCCCTTGATATTATCAGGAAACAGATTCTCCTCTAGAGCCTCTAGAAAGGAAAGCAGCTCTGCCTTAATGTTAACCCCCTAAAACTTACTTTAAACTTGTGACTTACACAACTGTAAGATGATAATTTGTGTTGTTTTAAGCCACCAAGTTTGTGGTAATTTGTGCAATTCATAGTGTTACAGCAGTAAAAAAAAAAATAATTCATGCCCCTTTTTCAGAATCACAGACATTTGGGCCTTGGTTGCCAGGAGCCAGTTCAGTAGAAATATTTGCCTTTCAAAGTCAAGTTTACCCATTGGTTAACCAGATTCTGGCCATATAGTGTATTTTTGGTACACTCAAGTTTGAGGAAGAGCTATTGTCCATTCCATAACTGAAGGGGTGGGAGTTGGGCTGAAACCTGAGCTGATCAGGAGCTTTGGTCTTGCACCTCCCATAGCTGCCCTCACCAACCTGGCTTAGTCCCAACTACCCCTTCTGGACAATTTCACAGACACGACACGCCAAGTGGGCCAAACCACTTCTGCCCTCTCTGCTGTCGCCAGTGTTAAACACAGAAGGAGAGGAACAGGAAGAGCCTTCTAGTCCCCAGGATAAAGGTCTCCCAAAGCTTTAGTTTCTTTCTGCTTAGCCTGGTCCCGATCTATCCCTCAGATCTCAGTGTGCACCACAATCAATCCTTTAACAAACCTTTACTGAGCACCTTGCTAGGTGCTGGGCACTGACCTGGCATTGGGGGATCATCTTTCTTCAAAGAGCTCAGAGACTCTGACTTATAGATGTGCAACTAAAATTATGATTCCAGGAAAGCAATTAACTCCACCTGGAGGGGTTAAAGAGCATGCAGAGGACTTTGGTGCCACGGAAAGAATGTGGACTTTATCCCTTAGATCATGATATACGCACAGCGAAGCTGGGTTTTTTTTGTTTTTGTTTTTAACTCACTTGTCTTTGAGGCATTTTTTGTTTGATATTTTAAAAAGCTTTTCCACATAGCTTCATGTTATTTTCTAATTATAAAATTCATATTCATTATGAAAAATTCAGACTACAGAGGTAAGAATAAAAATAACTTAAATTGTCTGTTAAGCCACCACCCAAAGATACTGTTAATGAACTGATGTTTGTCCCTAGACTTAGTCTATTTGTATACAGATATGAATATGGTTCTACATACAAAGATGTAATTATTCTGCATAGACATTTTTGCAAATAGGTTTTATTTAACTATATATCATGGACAATATATCCATTTCTATAATAACAGAGATCTGTGTAGTTTTCTCCTGCTTTCATAATACAGTTGTCCCTTGCACAGCATGGGGGTTATAGGACCTCCCCCACAGTTGAAAATCTGCATAACAGCATTTTTTTCCCAGATTTCCAGTTTTTCTTCTCTCTTTCACACACCACAGTTAGTTCATAAAATTTTTTTGTTTTACATTTTTTACACCAATGTAACAAAAAGGTGGGAAGGAAGGAGAGGTGGACAGTATTTTATGCCTATAAATGGGTGGGGGGCAGGTGGGGGGGGCTGGGGCAAACGAAAACACACGGTCTCTGCGGAAACACGGAGAGTTCTGACAGCAAAACGTGGTGGGAAGGAGGCCTCAGAGACGGAGGGTGTTGACTGGGCTTTATTCTCAGGGGAAGACGGCGCCGTGCTGTCGGTGAAGCCGGTGTTACATGACCTGGTGGGGAGGCGCAGGGCGAGGAAGGGAGCAGAAGACGAGTTCTCTAAGAAAGGAAACTAGCACGGAGCCGAGCTCTAACACTGCTGCTTTCTCTTCAAGGCCTCCACCAGGTCGTTCTTAAGAGCTTCTTGCTTTGATTTGTCTGCGAAAGTCTGCACAGACCTCAGCCCATTGACGATGTCCTTTGTTTTTCCAAAGTAAATCTCATTCAGCGTACTTCTGATTTTATTTTCCATATCCTTTACCAGGCGTCCGATATTGGCTATGTGCGGGGAGCAGTCGCTCACGGTCTCATCTTTCTCCATCTGTCTGGTCAGGCTGCCTCCGAGGTTCATGGTGCCGGAGCTGGATTTGTTGGTCTGCAGCCAGAGCATCACCGTGGAGGTCAGCTTGTAATGGGCGGTGCGACCACTGGATTTCTCCTGCACTTCTACCACGTGGATGGAATCCCAGCAGCCCTTGATCTTCTTGGATCCGTCTCCAGCCTTCTTTATGAGAATCACTCCAGCAAAGCCGTGATCCAGATCCCAGAGGTAGACAGATGAGACACCGCCTTCAAAGTACAGGTCTCGGTACTGGTCGAAGGCGTTGTTGGCTTCCACCTCCAGCTTCCTCAGCCCAGCGGAAGGCATGGCCCCATCTCCCAAAGGAGGGTCGTACCTGTTACTCCACGGTGACCTGTAGGAGTCCCCATCTCTGTTGTAGTCACACAAAAGGTAATCCTTTCCCACCACCTTGTCTCTGGCGATTTTCAGGGGCTAGTCAACAGAACCACTAATGACTGGAAACCTTACCAATAATATAAACATTCAATTAACACATATTTTGTGTATATATTATAAATGTATTCTTACAATAAAGCGAAGAGAAAAGAAAATATTAAGAACATCATAAGGAAAACACATTTATAGTATTAAACTGTATTATGGGGGGTGCCTGGGTGGCTCAGTGGGTTAAGCCGCTGCCTTCGGCTCAGGTCATGATCTCAGGGTCCTGGGATCGAGTCCCACATTGGGCTCTCTGCTCAACAGGGACCCTGCTTCTCTCTCTCTCTCTCTCTCTCTCTCTCTCTGCCTGCCTCTCTGTCTACTTGTGATCTCTCTCTGTCAAATAAATAAATAAAATCTTAAAAAAAAAAAAACCTGTATTTATGGGGAAAAAATCCACATGGTTCAAACCATGTTATTCAAGAGTCAACTGTATTTCCTTTTATGAATATACCATACTTTTTTACCCAATCCTGTATTGGGGACATTTCCAGTTTTTTCCTATTGTACCACAACCTCCATACTGAGACTGACCTCCATAGACTTTGTACCAGGTTACACTCCACTGCCCAATAGAAAGAGTGCTCATCTTTCCACACCCTTCTCTAAGGTAGTCATTATCATTGAAAAATTGCATCTCCTTGTTTGACTTCATATATTTTTTAAAGATTTATTTATTTTAGTGAGCACGCATGCACGCGCGCGCGAGAAAGAGCGCGGGTGCGCACGCACGTGCGGGCTTTGGGAGCGGCAGAGGGAGAAAATCATCAAGGTGACTTCCCACTGAAGGCAGAGCCCAAGGCGGGGCTCCATTTTATGACCCATGAGATAAGGATCTGAGGTGAAATCAGGAGTCATCTCCTCAACCAACAGAGCCACCCAAGGCCCCTTGACTTCATATTTTTTTAAAAGGCAGTTAGGTTGAAACTTCTTCACATGTTTGCTTGTTATATGTTTCCTGTTCAGTGAGTCTCCTATTAATGATTCTGTCAGCCAAAATCCCTATCACTGGGCGAGGTGCCTGGGTGGCTCAGTCAGTGGGCGTCTGCCTTTGGCTCGAGTCATGATCCCCGGGTCCTGGGATCGAGCCCCGTTTGGGGCGCCTGCTTCTCCCTCTCCCACTCCCCCTGCTTGTGTTCTCTCTCTCTCTCAAATAAATAAATAAAATTTTTTTTTTAAGATTTTATTTATTTATTTGAGAGAGAGGCAGTGAGAGAGAGCATGAGCAAGGAGAAGGTCAGAGGGAGAAGCAGACTCCCCATGGAGCTGGGAGCCCGATACGGGACTCGATCCCGGGACTCCGGGATCATGACCTGAGCCGAAAGCAGTCGTCCAACCAACTGAGCCACCCAGGCGTCCCAAATAAATAAAATCTTAAAAAAAAAAAATCCCTAGTCACTGGGAACAAACACTGACTAATGGAGCAGAGGAATGTGCTTAAAGAATATTTGTCAGGCAAATGTTACCAACTGGTAGGTGAAAGATACACAGAAGTTGATTTTATCATCTTCTTGACTTGTTTTTGTTTTTCAAAAAAGAATGTTAGAAGGAAGAGAGCCCTGAGAGGGAAAAGGCAGGGGAGGGTTGGGGAAATGATGGCAGTCTGGCCTGGATCCCTTCCTTTCCCTGACTATGCTCCCAGCTCTGAGGACAATGGCCATTTTGGCCTGGAGGTTCTCAGCCATCTTGAATGAGTCTACCTCTACCAGGCCCACAGCAGGGGTGACAAGAGCCAGGCAGCTCCTGTGGCAGCCTCAGCCCTCCAGGACAGTGATTTCCATCAGGCCACGTCCCTGATGGCCTTGATCAACTACCAAGTTTCAGACCAAATAGAATAGGATATTGATTTTTTTTTAAAGGTTTTATTTATTTATTTGGCAGAGATCACAAGTAGGCAGAGAGGGGGCAGAGAGAGAGGGGAAGCAGGCTCCCTGCCAAGCAGGGAACCAGATTTGGGGCTTGATCCCAGGACCCTGGGATCATGACCTGAGCTGAAGGCAGAGGCTTTAACCCACTGAACCACCCAGGTGCCCCAGGATATTGATTTTCATCTTGCCTTTCCCAGAAATAAAACCTTAGTTTTTGAATAGAAAAATCAGGTGAAGTACATACAATGGAAACTAATGTTGGTGACTGTATATTCAATACCATTTCTGAAAAGTGACTTTCTCAGAATTATCCCTGGATATCATGGGAGGACAGGGGCAAGAACAAGAGGGAATGTATTACAGACACAGATGTGTTGGATCTGAAACCAGAAGGTCTAGAACCTGGAAGATCATGGAACCATTATCATTGAAAGTTCCCCCAATAACGGGTCCGTGATTAAAGGAGCGAGACTGAGACAAAGCGAAGGCCAAGCAAAGTTTATTTTGCGACAAGCATCAAGAATCAAACCGAACGTTTGGGGCTGCGCCTCTTACAGAGAAGGCAACCTCTCTCTGCTTCACAGACTAGCTTTTAAGGGCAAAAGCCATGTGGTTGGGCCTGGTCATGCACAGGTAGCCAATGAAGATTATAACACACAGAAAGCTACACAGTCATGCTAGGTCACACATAAGTGACCAATTGAATTACAATTTACCCTATAGTAGACATTTGAACTAGCCTATCACCTTGGTCAGAATTGGCACCCAAAAGGTGGGGCCCATACTCCTTGGTAGCTAGGGAGACAGTATGCCCCCCCCCATTGGATGTCTCCACCTGGCCTGACCCACCCTGTATTTGGGCTTTGTTACCTGGGACTGGTTTCCAGGACTTGTTTTTAAGTAAGACCCCTGGGAGAAGGGGGGCAGGGACAGTTTAAGGTTTAAACAACAAGGTTATTGTTTAACCAGATGGAAGCGCTCTGGCTAAATAGGTCTTTACAATCATCATCATCATCAAATTAGGGTTAAGTAGTCATATCCAAATTCTGCTTAGAGTATTTGAAGCTCATGATAGAAAGAAATATACAAGGAAGCAACTTTGATAGAGTTGATTTCTGGTCCACAAACAATTTGGTGGTCAATGGTGTCACCCATTCAAGTTTTATGCTAAACCATCTGTTTGAAGGTAAGTAGAAAAGTAGAACCTGAAACTCAAACTACTTAACTTTTAAAAAAGAGGCTGAAAAATCCAGTAAGTTGTCACAGTCAAGACCAGTAATAGTCTCTTCCAACTTGTTTACAGGAAGTATTATGTGTGAAACAAATATAATTTAAATGTGAAAGGCAAGTCTTTACTTTTATCTAATCATATTTATTCAGTTGTACTTAACTGTGTAAGAGAAATATTTTTGCAGACTTTATATATAATACAATGAAGCCCTATTAACAACTGCATTTTCTGAAGTTTGAAAAAAAATTCAAATGTCACAGGTGATTTAAATAAATAAACAGTGAGCCTAATTGCAACACCAAACAATCTATTCTAAAAAGTTTCTCTTGGGACACCTGGGTGGCTCAGTTGGTTAGGTGTCTGACTCTTGATTTTGACTCAAGTCATGGTCTCAGGGTGGTGAGATAGAGCCCCATGTCGGGCTCTGCACAGGGCATGGAGCCTGTTTAGGGTTCTCTCTCCCTCTGCATCATCATCCCCCGCCCCTCCCCTCCTACCCCCACTTTCTCTCTTTCTCTCTCAAGAAAACAAAATTTTTTTCTCTTAACCAGGAGTTTCCATGTAAATGTAGCAATTACAGATTTATCCCAGAAAGCTGACTTACCTGATTCTGGATTGAATATAGATTTGGAAAACAAAGTCTCAACTTCTGTCTGCACATGCACCTCTCCTATAATGTAAAAAGAAGCATAGTTTTGAGAAACAGTAACATTTTTGAGATTTGTATAACCAAATATTATATTGCAATGTAAAATACAGATAAAAACATAGTAGTTTTATATACCTAGCCTATATTCTCCAAAGGTCATGGCTATAGACTGAATACTTGTGTCCCACCCCCCTTCCCATTCATATGTTGAAATCCTACCCCAAGGTGATGGTATTAGGAGGAGGGAACTTTGGGAGGTGATGGGGTCATGAGGGTGGATTCCTGAATTTATAAAAGAAACCTGAGCAGCTCCCTCAATCCTCCCTTTTACCATGTGAGGACCCAGTGAGAAGGCACCATCCGTGAATGAGAAAGCGGGTTCTCACCAAACACTGAATCTGCCAGCACTTGATCTTGGACTTTCAGCCTCTAGAACTGTGGGGAAAAAAAAAAAATCTGTTGTTTATAAGCAATCCCGTCTCCGATATTTTGTTATAGCAGCTCAAATGGGCTAAGACAAAGTTGTACTTTTCTTACTTAAATTAGGACAATTTTTTTTGAAGAAGTGAATAATATAGTCAAAATTTCTCAGTCTTGGGGACACCTTGGTTGCTCAGTTGTTAAGCTATCTGCCTTTGGCTCAGGTCATGATCTTGGGGTCCTAGGATCAAGCCCCATAACAAGTTCCCTGCTGGGTGGGGAGTCTGCTTCTCTTTCTGCCTCTCCCCCCAACCCCTGGTTTGTGCTTTCTCTCTCTCCCCCTCTCTCTTGCTCACTCTATCTTTCTCTCAAATAAATAAATAAAATCTTAAAAAAAAAACCAAACCGTTTTTCAGTCTCAATGAGGATGTAGATTTCTGTGTTAACAGACATTCAGCACTTAGCCAAAGTATAGAATTTTAAAAGAAATGTGAGAGAAATTAGGAATCTTACTTTTATATTATCCATCAACAGTGTTATGTTAATTTTGACATAGTTGCTGTTTGGGTAGTATTGGTTATCAGGAGGCATGAAAGAAGTATTGCTAAAAGGATCTGGACTTAACATAAGTATCTCTTTTCCTGAGCCCTCAAAAATCTTCAGAAACAATAAAAAGAATCTTCATCTAAAAGTTCTTTTAAGTAGATTCAAAAGGTAAATTTCAGATTGCCAGATCAAAGTAAAGTTATTTTGTTTCCTTTTATGGTTTTTTGTTTTCTTTTGTTTAGTTTGTTATTTGGGAGCCTTACCTTTTCATGTAGGCAAATTTATCAGTCACTTATCATAGCTCATGAATTTGGGATCATGGTTAGAAGGACCTTCTCTACTTTACATTTTTTTAAAAATTCACACTTTCTTTGAGTTTTTTTGAGGTTTAATTTTTTTTAAATATTTAAAGCCCTGCTCTATAAGAATTTATACTGGCATAAATGTGTCTTCAATATAGAAGTTTTTACTTTTTTAGTGAAATCTTTGTCTTTTATGATTTTTTTTTTTGTCTTTTATGATTTCTGTCGTAGGTGTTTTGGGGTTTGTTTTCTAGAATGACATTTCTTGGGAACAATGTGAAGAGTGGGCTGGAGTAGGACACACCCAGGTGACACGCTAGAAACTCTATCCCAGGGAGTCTTTAAGGGGAAGGACTGTTTTTTTTTTTTCATTTCAGTTCAGCTCAGTTAATATTTACTGAGAACCTACTCTTGCAGATACTGTGTTAAGTGCGGGAAGCACAAAGATGAAGAAGACATCTATCCGTTCTCAAATGAGGGTGACAAATGCAGAAATAGAATTATGAGTCAGTGGCAGGTACAATGAGAAAATAGTGTAAGGACCAATTAGTACCCCTAAGATGGGCACCTCATCTAGCCTAGAAGGGAAGATGATATTTGAGAATGCTTCCTGGAGGAAGTGAAGCCTGAGTTAAGTCCTCCCGCTGCCCCATTTGGATATTTAGAAAGTTAGAATAAGAATTTAATAAAGCATCTGAAATCCCCCTCCAATTAAAATAACTTCCTCTGCAAATTTGTTTTGCTTGTGAGATCCAGTGAAGAGCATATTATTTGCTAAGATACACATTTAATATCACTGAAAAGAAAGAACTGGGACAGGAAGCTGCCTTGATCAACAGTTGAATACAACTCCCAGAGCAAAGGAGAGAGGCCCCCAGGCCAGAGAGAGTCATCCTAGTGCACACTGATTATGAAAGAGGGCTGCATCAGAATTCTTCTCTCCCCACAGAGCCAAATGTAGCTCACTTGTTCTGACCTAGAACTAGAAGGCAGGGATCTTGAGGACTGGAGGCTGGAGAGGCAGATTTTAAGGATCTTATGCCTTCTGTAATGGACAGGAGATAAAAACCACTGAGGTGCTTCATTGGAAAGTGTCAGATCTGATGAAGAAACTTGGAAATCATCTGCATGGGCTAAGTAGGAAGATGTGAGAGGGTGAGATTGTCCAGGGATACCAAGGTGCAGAGGGCTTAATTTTGGGAGGGATTCTTGATCCCTTTGAGAATGTGACGAAACCTCTGGACTGTCTCTCCAGAAAAATGTCCCTTAACGATCACACAAGCATAGAGAATTTCAGAGGACTGTCAAATTAAGAATATTCAACATAGAGGGGAAAGAGAAGAGGCACGAAGAAGAGGATATTTGGATGACGATGAGGAGAGTAGGAACTAGGCCAAAGAAAGATGACCCAAGAAGTACAAGAAGAGCTAGGAGAGTAAAGTGATGGGAAGCTGCAGGAGAACAGAGATGTGAGGAGGGCATGGGCAACAGTGTTAACTGCTGTAGAGACTTGAACTAAGTTAAGGACTGAAACGTCTTTTGCACTTACAGTTAAGAAATCGTTGGTAACTGTGAATAGTTTCTGAGGGGTGATGGGTAATGGTAGTTCCAGATTTGTTTTAATTCAAGAAGTTTTAGGGATGGCGTCTGGGTAAAAGTGAGTGTAGAAGAGTGGCCTTGTATGTTTGCAGAGTACTAACATGCAGCTGAAAAATTGTCAACTGTCAGTAGAAAGGGTTGAGGAGCGCATGGAATCATTCATCTGTTCCCTGGTGCCTTCACTGTGATGGAGTCAAAAGCCAGAAAGCAATGGTTGAAAGAACGATGTGAGTAGAGGAAGTGGAGAAATTTGGTTCATTGGTATGTAAGAGATAAAGGGCAGTTAAAATGAGAAACAGGGGACACCTGGGTGGCTCAGTGGGTTAAAGGCCCCTGCCTTCGGCTTAGGTCATGATCTCAGGGTCCTAGGATTGAGCCCCACATCGGGCTCTCTGCTCAGCAGGGAGCCAGTGTCCCCCCCCCTCCCCCCCCTGCCTCTCTGCCAGCTTGTGATCTCTGTCTAAAAAAAAAAAAAAATCTAAAAAAAAAAAAAAACAATGAGAAACAAAAGCAAGAAAGGGATTTTGTTTCTAAGAATGAACACAGCCTGATATAGTTAGGCTGTGAATGCCCCAAGTGGCTCTTCCTAAGACCTGGTCTCTACAACAGCCTCATAAATCCCTTCTGAAACACTGAAATTCACCTTTGGTTCTTGGTGAGCTATTAGGAAATTCTTAACAGCTGAATGACATTACCAAAAAAAATCTGAACCCAACTCAGATATTTGAAAAGTTTTTCAGTACCTTAAATTTAAGCTACTTAATTCCCCCCCACACTCATCTCATTCTGATGTACAGCAAATCTTTTGAACAAAATTTTTCTTTTAAAGGTACCAAGAACCACAATCCTATAACCATGACAATAGGGCCCTAACTAGCATTTTTGATGTAGAGAAATTAGCTTCATTTTAATTTTTATTCTGAAATTCTACAAAGTCATGTGGGGTTCATTTATACACAGGATGTGGGCGCAGAACCCAGTATCACTCAGGGGTTAGCTGAGGCTCAGGAGGGTTATAGGGTTTTGCCTACCAGCTGTACCCATGTTCTCGCCTTTGTTGTTGTCTTGTTTTCTTTTCGCTCCTGAGCTTTTGAACCAGTTTTCCATTAGAATAGCCAAGAAGGTATAAAATTGTCTGTGTACCTCAAGCAAAAGTGTTTTAGCCTTGAAGATCTGTCTTCTAAATTCACAGGGGTGCGTCCTCAGTTAGAGCTGGGTGACAGACCTAAGTCCTGGTACCCCATGAAGGGCGAGCACCCCCAGGTGCTCTGCCTACCTGCTGAGATCTTGGTTGCCAGCAAATCTCAGGATTGCCTAGGGCTTTTCTATCCAATTGTGGTGGAGAAAATCCTAGGGATGGAAAGGAACATAACTTCATAAATCTCCTAGGAAAGGTGTGGGAAACAGGGGTCTTTAAAAAAAAAAAAAAAAAAACTGCTCCCAAATATCAATCCCCATAAACTGTACCCACAAACTTGGGGGGTTAAAAAGTGCAGTTTATTTCCCTTACCCTTTTAAGAGTTGTCTTTATCATTAGATTATATTCTCATGTTTCTATCAAGACGCAGTGGTTGGGGGATGCTGGCCCTTTAAGGGGGCAGCAGGGGATGGGCTGGGACTCTTAAAGCCAGGGCAGCAAATCAGCCCTGGCCTAGGCTGCCATGGCTAAACTAAGCAGAAAGGACAGCAGCAGTCAGGCGGTGGGTGTTGGCAACAAGGCAGCTCTTGTTGAGGGGGCCATGTGTATCTGTGTGGAAGTGCTTCTCCAGCTGCCAGCTCTGTTCCTTATTTCTGTCCCTTGGCAGGACAGCTCCCTGCAGCTGGGGGGTGAGGGCAGAGGCCGGGGCTTAGGGCAGTCTAAGAGCCCAAGGTCCTATTCCTTGAGACCCCGGGCTAATACTCCTCTGGCAACTTTGGTAGGGGGAGAGCATGGCTGTTTTAGGGTACCATGCCATCCTTACTGAGGAGGAGGCTGTCTCTGGGTTTTTTCCCCTGTCTCAGGTTTACCTTCCAGAGGCGAACAGTGTTTTCTTACCAGAGGAAGGAGACATGGTGGAAGTCTGCCAGCCTGCAAAGATGAAATGCCTTGAAGGTACTGCTCATTAGGGTGTGGAATCTGGATGAAAAGCCTTGGGGTGCAGAGACTTGCTGGTATGGTTCAGTGGACAGATGTGGGCCTGGGTATCCAGAATTATTAGGAGTGACTTCCAAACTCTTCGACTTGCTGACTACATCACATAAGTGACTGAGGTCACTTTTCTTTTTTTTTTCTTTTTAAAAGATTTTATTTATTTATTTGACACACAGAGATCACAAGTAGGCAGAGATGCAGGCAGAGAGAGGGGGAAGCAGGTTCCCTGCTGAGCAGAGAGCCTGATGCAGGGCTCAATCCCAGGACTCTGAGATCACGACCTGAGCCAAACGCAGAGGCTCAACCCACTGAGCCACCCAGGCCCCCTGAGGTCACTTTTCTAGGCGCTATTTTACCCCCTTCATGGGGAAATGATCACTACAAGCCTTGCAGGACTGCTCAGAACAGAGCACTGTGTGAAGTATCTGGAGCACAGTAGGCTTTAATTGCAGTGAGTGCCCGTATCTGGCACTTGATTGGCTAAGGAGGCACTGAGAGGAGCTGTTAGGTGGGGGAGAGCAGGTAGAGCAACGTGGGGTGCTAACTAATGAGGTAATTGAAGAGATGTGGAAGGCAAAGGTGTTTGGCACCTGCCAGGTTCCATTTGCTCCAGTCGGGGGGGTGGGGGTCAGGGGTAACAAGGTGGGGAACTGTTTGAAGGTGGTGCTGGAGATGACTTATGAACAGAAGTGTTCCTGAGAAGAGCCTCTCTAGACGAGATTCCTCACACCTGCATCCCTAACTACTCCCTCGTCAGGCCCCTACTTAAACCAAGACCCAAGCAAGTCCTATAGTTCCTCAGCTCCTGAGGAGGAGCTGGTGTCTGCCTCCCATTTGGATGAGGAGGAAGAGCAAGAGGAGGAGGAAGAGGAGAATCTGGATCCAGATCTAGCCCCAGAGCTGGAGGAGGAGGAGGAGGAAGAGGCGGAGGAGGAGGAGGAGCATGACCTCCGGGATCCAGCTGTCCTCAGTGCTATCCACAACACCCAGGTACCAGGGCAGGAGGGAGTGGGGAGACAGTCGGCCGGAACTCTCTGCAGCTCACAGACAGTTGCTAAATATCCTTCTCTACTGCTTTCTAGCCCTTGCCTTAACCATTTGGCCATGACAAAATGGCCTCCCCACCTGCCTAGATAGGTTCTGGGTTAACACTTCCTATTTCAGGCTTAAACCTGAGTAGAGACTCTCTCCTTCCTCTCTGCTTCTTCCTACCTCTCACTTAGTTTCTGATGCTGTCTTCACCTTAAAAACCAGGTCATATCAGGGTCGTGCACAGCCCACAGGTGCTGGTTGAACTCCTGGTACTGAAGATGAGTCATCCTTGGCCCTGGGCCCCTGTGTCTCAGCAGTTCATTCCTGGTATTTATTCTCTTAGATTCCCACAACCAGTGGAGAGCGACAAAGATTCCTATAAAGAAATGAAATCATGGGGCGCTTGGGTGACTCAGTCGGTCAAGTGTCTGCCTTGGGCTCAGATCTTGATTCCAGGATCCTGGGATTGAGCCCCACATCTGTTACTCAGGCTCCCTGCTCAGCAGGGAGCCTGCTTCTCCCTCTCCCTCTGCCTGCCACACCCTCTGCTTGTGTTTGATCTCTCTCTGTGTCAAATAAATAAATAGATAAGTAGATAAATAACCTTAAAGAAATGAAATCACTCAGTCTCCCTCAACCTTTTCCTGAGATACCGGTCTTGCTTCTTCTTCTCCTCAGAGGAAGCAGAGGTCCTGACCCAGTTGATTTTTTTACTGCAAGGGAGGGCCAGACCATCACTGTCTTGGATATTGGAAGTGACTGGCCTTCCTTCACTCCATACCCAACAGACACTGATAACTATAGAAGACACTTCAGGGACTCATTCAAGCCTGATTTCTTCCCTCCCATTCCAGAGAGGCCTTCTCAGCTCCTCTGGAATCAAGGCCTCTGGTGTGCTGGGGATGTCCCCTGCTTCCTTGCACTTTCTGTGGCAGGTGAGTCCCTCCAATCTCCATCCTGTGTCAAAGTAATAGCATGTGGAGACAGAGCATGTGGAGTGTCCCTTAGTCTGTCCTTGACCTTGTTCTGGTGATGAAACAGCCCAAGTGAGGTGTGGGAGATGGGAGACACCCATAATGTAGAGTAGGTTGGTAAATGACAGAGGTGGTCCTGGGACAACTGGCCGTCCATATGGAAAGGACAAATGAGAGCCCTACTTCCACCTCCCTACGTTTCAGCAGATGAGCAGCATGGAGCAGAGGGCTAGAAAGAGCAGCTACCCTCAAATGAACTGTGTCCTGAGAACACGACCTGGGCCAGAGGAGTTTCAGGAAATCCTGCAGGGAGAATGAGACCACCATTGCAGCTCTGAGGAAGGCTTCAGAGGAGTCCAAAAAGAGGCAGACAAGCATTGCCTCAGGGGCTGAAGGCACAAGAGCCTGAATAAATGACCATCACAGGGAGGAGAGAGAGAGAAAGAGAGAGGTACTGACTCACCAGACAGGAAAGGCACATGCCCCCACATTGTCAGGGACTAAAGAGCTTCCCTAGGAGACGACAAACTCTGTTGGGTGAGGTTCTTGTGGGAGAAAAGGCAGGTGAGAAAAAGGAACAGGAGCAGCATTCTGTGTGGAGCTTCCCTTTTCCCAGAACTCTAAATTCCATTCTCAGACGCTGGACTACCTCTCTCCAGTTCCTTTCCGGACTACCTTTCCCAGTGCCAGCTCTCCAGCACGGCACTTTGGACCTCAACTTCTCTCACCAGACCCAGCTTTCTTCTGCAGCCTGCCAACCTCCTGGCTCCCTAGTTTCAGGTACTGGCTCAGGGTGCTGGGCACCCCAGCATCTCCCCCAGACTGAGCTCTTCTCTGGAGTTATCAGGACGTAGTGGCTGAGGAGGGATGGGGCTACCTACCAGCTGCCACAGAAAAACACCTACAGAAACCTAGTCTTAGAAGTGTGCAGTGGAGTCCCGTCACTTCTCCCTCACAGAGGAGGAAGTGGAGGGCCCGGGGGCTAAAAAGAACTTACTTGAGGTTAGCTGGCACGGCAGAACTGAGATTAGGACTCAGAACTCCCAACGACCAGGCCAGATGAGTTTCTACTGTGTCAACATTTCCTGCAGCGCAACTGCAGGAAAATAGATCCTGGAGGGGAATGTGAGCCCTGCCGAGCCAGGGTTGCATGGTTTCACGTGGCTGACTTTGGGGAGGCACGCGGGTGGGTGGGGTTGCCTTAGATGTTCCCCTGAGCTTCCTAGAGGCTAACTGGATGGAAGGGTAGGGAGTCGAGTGCTTTCTTTGACCCAGCCCAAGTTTCTTTCTAAGTCTGCCTAGCCACCTGACCCAGCTCCACCCTCAGCACCAACGGATCCTGCAGCTGCAGCAACACAGTCGAACACCAAGGTAAAGCCTAGAAGAGCAGCAGGGTTGAAGGCAGCTCGTTTGCATGCTGGGTATCCCCCCTCCCCCCCCCACCCAGAGTTCCTGCACAAGACTCTCCCCATGTTGCCTACCTCCTGTACTCTGTTCCATCCCTCCCTGCTCACCACTCCTTGGGAAGCTGTGGGAGGGTGGGTAGGTCTAAAGGAATTTTCCTTTCTGGCTTGAAGTGCCCCAGCCAAGAAGCCTTGGTCTCAGCAGCCAGACCCCTATGTTAACCTCATGACCCGAAAGGAGAAGGACTGGGTGATTAAAGTACAGATGGTTCAGCTGCAGAGTGAGAACCCCCACCTGGATGACTACTACTATCAGGTGAGCCCCAGCAGCTCCTCTCAGCCTCTGACCTTGGCATCCAACAGGCCTGGATTCCATGGGTCCTCTTGGATCATTTCTCTAGCTCTTAGAGGGCCATGTCCAGTCAGGTGGGAGAGTCAGTCACTACAGGATAGGGGCCATATCTCAAGATGACATCCCAAGATCCTTCCCCTCTATTCTCCTGCACTTCAGACAAATGGGATTATTTACAATTCCCCAAACACCAAGGTTTTGTCTTCATCCTTTGCCAAGAATTTCCCTTATTCAGCATTGAAATATGGACTTTTCCACTTTTGTATACTTCTGTGGGTCTTAGAAATATCTCGTTATAAATGTTCACCTACTTTTTGCTTTTTTTAAAGATATAAAACACATGAACTTTATGAACCATGGGATTCGACTTGTTGACTTGAATAAATGCCAGCAGACATATTAACTCCTTACCCTCTGCTCCCTGTCTTCCTTTTGCTTACGAGGCAAGCTTTGCTTATGGGTTTTTGGGTTATCTGAGCTGTGTTCCACTTTGTTTCCAACCTCTGTAAGCCCCCTACTAAGGTTCCCACCTTTATCTCCTTCCTATTTAGACTAATTTCTTCCTTTCTTTCCACCATGCTTTAAAAACTTTCTGCCTAGATCACTGGAAGCAAAATATTTTACCTCTTGCTTTTTTAGCACTGCTCCTAAATGAAAGAGCTTTATTCAAATCCTTGTTTGCCTCACGGTAGGTGGATTTATTTTAGCTTGGGATTTTACAGATTTCCTTAAGAAGACGTTAGAGCTGCTGGGCCATTCTTTGGAAGCCTAAAACTGGCCTGGAGTGGTATTAGCTACTGGCCAATTGATAGTAGTATTATCTCTGTACTACAAACTGCCGATGGTCTTCGTGCCATCAGATAACTGTGATTTTTGGAAAGCAGAGGTAGGATCACAAAACTAGAAGGGAAGGGTGAAGGAAAAGTGTGCAGTATATATCCGAGGAAGAAGGAATGCAGGAAGGTTACAGATGCTGATATGGGTTTGCTTGCTGGCTCTCCACGTGGCTATCTGCCTTTTCATCAGATCTGGTGGTGGTGTCTAGCTCTTGAAGTCCTCAGTATAGAGACCCCAAGCCAGATGTCATGAGGCCCAGGGTACTCAAGATGCTTCAGAGTGGTTGGCAAGGGGTCCGGAGGGGCCAGGATCCTGTCTGGAATGAATGCAGTAGGAAAGGGTGTATTAAGAGGTTGCACTTGAGAACTTTAATTCTAAGTTCCGAAGATGAAGATACATTTTTCTATTCCATGGACACTCAGGAATATTATCAGAAACTAGAGAAAAAGCAGACAGATGAAGAGCTACTTGGGCGAAGGAGCAAGTTTGAATCACTCAAGTTGGTAACACCCTACATTCAGAAGGCAGAGGCTTATGAGTCAGGTAGGACCAGGGCTGACCTGCTGGGTTGGGATGGATATCTGGGTAATGGAGGGTGGGAAGGGAAGGGGAATATGCTTCTCCTGACTCCTTTTTGTGCAGTGGTTAGAATTGAGGGTTCCCTGGGCCAAGTAGCTGTATCAACGTGTTTTAGCCCTCGCCGAGCTATTGATGCTGTACCCCATGGATCTCAAGATCAGGTAAAAGTGCTATCTTCCAACAACCTTTTTTTTTTTTTTTTTTTTAAAGATTTTATCTATTCATTTGTTGGAGAGCGAGAGAGAATGCACAAGCAGGTGAAAGCAGCAAGGAAAGGCAGAAGCAGGCTCCCTGCTGAGCAAGGAGCCTGATGTGGTACTTGATCCCAGGACGCTGGGATCATGACCTGAGCTGACGGCAGACACTTAACTGACTGAGCCACCCAGGCATTCCTCCCATAACCCCCCCCTTTTTTTTTTTTTAATCTTCCCTGTTTTGGAGAAAGGACAGGGGCACTCTCATGCTTGAGGTCAGATTTTGACTTAAGCGTGAGAAAGAAGTGTGGTCAGACTTGGTGTTAGCTTTTCCAGCTCTATGTCTAGCTTGCCTGAGGTCTGGGCTGCTGCTCTGAAGGTGTGGCTGATGGCCTGGGACTCTCTCCTAGGAGACAGGAGCTGCAAGCAGTCAGAGGCTTCAAGTGTTGGCCCGGATTGAAAAGGTGAGATAGCAACTCCTTAAGGATGAATTCTTCATTTACCCTTGGGAGTGGGATATTTCTCAAATTGATCTCTTCTTTTCCCACCTTTGAATTTCCAGATGTTTCTTCAGTTGCTGGAGATAGAGGGCCAGAAGGACGGGCTGCCACAGCCCTGCTCCTCTGAACAAAGGAACAACCAGATTGAGAAGCTCTTCCAAGCCTTAAAGACCCCAGAGCAGAATACTCTGGAGTGAGTGTGGGAGGCTCACATCTCCAGCCCAGCAAGGGAAAGATAAGCAAACCCAAGGGCTTTCCTTCTGCCCCTCCTTTCTGGCACGAAGCCAGAGCCCTCTATGCAGAGCCCTGAAAATGTCTTCCTTTCTCACATGTAGGGAGGCAGCAGATGGCTTCCTGCAGGTGCTCTCCGTGAGGAAGGGGAAAGCTCTAGTGGCAAGGCTGCTCCCTCTCCTGCCCCAGGATCGAGCTGTTAGCCTTCTTCTGGCAATCACCCACCATTTGCCCCTCCTAGTCAGGAGGGATGTAGCTGATCAGGTACTGTGGCATTGAGGAGATAAGAGGATGGTTTTGTGCATGGGTTAAAGATCCTTCTTCTTCACCCTCTCTCCCATCCCCAGAGATACCCCAGAGAGTGCTGGGCAGGGAGAGGTGCCAAACCTGCCTCCCTTGGTTGAGGAGGTTATAGAACCAACTACTATAGGAACGACTGATCATCTTGAGTACAATGACCAAAAAACACAGACATGCGGTTGTACAGGTGTGAGTGGGCTGTGGAGGTTTGAGAAGATAAAGACTCCCTGTGAAGTGTTAAGCCTCATATCTACCCTTCTTAGGGAAGACATCCTAGATAAGTGGGTATTGGAGGACCACTTAATAGTGGTTGGAAGGACCTGAGTAGTAAGTAACCCGACCAGGAAAGTACCAAAAGCAGGTCATCCAGAAAAGGGAATACAGGCAAAGTAGGAGGAGATAACGTTGTAGTGGAGACTGAGAGAGATACTTACTGACCTTTTTGCAGGCTCTACAAATGTTATTCAAACCCCTGGGCAAATGTATCAGCCACTTGACCTTCCATGAACTCCTCCAAGGACTTCAGGGTCTAATGCTGTTTCCACCTGGCTCCTCAGAGAGGCCGGTCACTCTGGTACTTCAGAACCAGGTAACACAGTGGGAGGCTTTGCTCTTTCCACAGATGGTCTCCAGGTGGTATTACTGGCAAGGACTAAGCAACAGAGTATTACCTCTCCCTCTTCTCTGTAGTGCTTCTCCATGTCAGTGAGCACTAGGATCACCTGGAGAGCTCACCAAACACCAGTTCCTAGGTCTCACCCCCAGAGAGTCTCATTTAGTAGACCTGGGGTGTGGCCCATCCATTTGCTTTTCTAACAAGCTCCCTGAGGACGGTGCTGATGGGAACCTCTAGAACAGAGGTCACCAAACTTTTTTGATGGTGTATCCCTCTTAGTAAAAAGCTCTGAACCCTGTCACCCATGTGCTAGTCTAGAAGTCCTATACATGTCACATTACCCTAAGTACGTAATAAATACAAGATAGAAAATTTTAAATGCATAGACTCTAGATGTGAAAGTTGATAATCTTTTAATACTCTAATGGATTATTTTGTGAACTCCTCTATGCAAATCTTTGTCTAAAGAATTGCTGCTTTAGTGGGGTCCATAAACTACCTGCATCAGATTCCTGAGTCTGTTCCTGATCTATAGACTGACTGCTGAGAGTAAAACCCACAAGTGTGCATTTAATCAACTCTCCACAAGGATCTTTTGGAAAGTTCAGAGCAGTGATATCCTTCAAAAGGTCTGAGAGTTCTTTGGCCAGCCATTGTAAAATCGGTTTTACAAGTGTTGAACTGCACTTTTACATGTGAACCTGTCCCCCCCTTTTTTGGGGGAAATAGCAGAGCCAAGGAAGTGCAGAATGCCTCTTGTGAACTCTTTTGACCTTGCCTACTGTATCTCTTGCAGTTTGGAATATCTTTGCTCTATGCCCTACTAAGTCATGGGGAACAGCTGGTATCCCTAGAGTCTTCCCTTGAGGAGCCCAGCAGTGATCATACAGCTTGGTAAGATCTTAAAGGCCTTGTAAATGCTATTTCAGTATCCCTGGGATATATAGGCTGAACCTGGTGAGCTATTACCTGAGTGGTATATTCAAGTATTGGGAGGAAGTTGGACAGAGAAGAGAAAAATATCAGAGTGATAGCTGTTCTCCCTTCTCCTCTGTTTTTCCTTCCTTCCTTCTTTCTTTTCTAGTGTCCTAGAGTGTTGGTTTCCCATGGAAGGCAGTAGAACAATGATTAAGGGGACAAGCTTTAGAGTCAAACAGACCTAAGTTGGAATTCTGCCTTTGTCAGCAGCATTGCAACTTTCAGACATGTTACTTCCCGTCTCTAAGCTTGTTACTTCATCTATAAACTACGGATTTAGGGATAATGATGATAATCAGAGTTCTTAAGAAGGAGGATATGTAAAGCACTAAGCATTGCCTGACACATGCAAAGTATGCAAGTGTTCTCTTAACTGTTTACAAGCACAGAGGTTGATAGTGGTAGTGGTGGAAAAATAATTTGGAACCTTGGCCTTGAGTCTACTTCCTGCATAAATACGAAGACTTTGATGTTTTTTCATCTTCTCTGCCCTCCAGGACTGACATGGTGGTTCTGATTGCCTGGGAGATAGCCCAGATACCAACAGCATCTCTGGCAGAACCCCTAGCCTTCCCCAGCAACCTTCTTCCTCTATTCTGTCACCATGTGGACAAACCCTTGGTACAGCACCTAGAAGCTAGGATGGAGTAAGTGATGGTAGAAATGAGGTTATAGCCCCTTGTTCAAGCCCTGTATAGGTTCTGTCATTTCTTTTAAGCCAAGAATATAGAGGATAACTTGTATTTAGAAGTAGTTCTATACACGTTAGCATTTACCCAGTAATCCATCTGTCTGGGTTAGGGTCCTGAAGCCTATTTCTTCAGCCAAACCTTTTAATTTATTCCCAGTTCCTTTGCTCATTGATCACGCTAAGCTACCTAAGGGCAAGGATTAATATGAGAAGCTGAATTGTTAATTGAAGAAATATTTGAGGGACAAATCTAAAAGTATGAGTGACATGAAGGTCACTTCTGTTCTCAGAATTTACCAACTGCTGGAAAGAGTAATCAAATCACACGAATACTTTAGAAAATAGAATTGTTTACTGTTAAAAATCTGTTCTCTTTGTAGGCTTGCTTGGGTCTACTGATCCAGTTGTTCTGAAATACATATATGTGGGAAAATTTAATCATCAGACACTAGCAGTATGGGCTAGGTCTACAGGGATCCAGAGAGTCTGAGGACATTTTTTTATGCCTTGATATATTGGAGGATCTCACCCAGAACATTTCCTTATGTTCTCCTTAAAAACCTGAATGATCTGCCTAAAACTCATGACACAATAAGGTTTAATTAAAGAGATAATAGAATGATGTGTTGAAATTTGTGATAAGTTAGGAGGTATAATGAAAGCCATTTTCTTACGTATGAATGCCTCCAAAATGTCCTTAATAAAAGGGATAAGGTCTGGTTATGTCTAACAATATGACCTTGGAAATTCCTTCTCTGCTGACTTTTTTTTTTAAATAAAAAAATAGGGTTGGCTGTAAATATTTCCCTTGGGATATGAAATGTTTGGTTTAAGTTGACAAACAAGGTCACGTATACATCAATCCCTGGAGTCCCTTTTATGAACTAGGCACCGTTTTAGGCGGTAGGTGAACAGTGAGCAGTGAAAATTCCCTGTTCTTCTGAAGCTTTCATTCTGGTTAGACAGGTACTGATGGCAAACATCAAGTAGTGATAAATACCTGGGTGAAAACAAAACTGGGTGGGGAGTAACTGGAGGGTAATGGTGCAGGAAGGCCTGTCAATAGCAGTTGCATTTAAGCTGAAAGTACTCCCTGTAGAGGCACTAGTGAGCACAAAGCTGCTAAGTGAGAAAAGGGGTGGCGGTGGAGGACGTTAATAACAGTCAAGTAAAAATTTTCTAAAGGGAAAGCAAAATTTAACAGTAGTGGTTGGTGTAGTTTGAGGGAGGATTTCTTTTGAGCATGACATTATAGCATGTTCACATGATAAGGCACCCCAATAAAAGGAGAGAAAGATATGCAGGAGAAAAGAGAATTTTACAAAGTCCTAGAACAAGACGATGTGAGTCAAAGCACAAGTGGAGGGTCTGGCCTACTGGTTACCTGTGTGGCCCTAGCTGATCGTGGAAAAGAATGCGTTAAGAAAAATACTGATGTTTATTAGAACCTCCCAAATTCCTCCTCCGCCCCCTCACAGGGCTCCCCCTCCTCTTCAGCTCTGCTGGAGGCCTTGGATCATACTCCCTTGAGAAGACTAGTAATTAATTCGGAACTCTACCCACACCATCCCTTAACTACCCTGTTTCCCTACCCTCTACAAGACATATTATTTGACCTCAGCATTCTAGTTGATTCTCTTAGTATGAATCGGTCCACCCTACCAAAGACATGGTACCACCCAGGGCCTGTAAACGGAAATAACAGCACAACAGGTAAAGAAAAAGGAGAGAGGCAAGAAACGGGTTCTAATAAAGGGTAAGCATTTAGAGGAAGAAGGCAGAGGGTAATGCCACGGAGTGAGTAAAGCTGCTCCAGCGTGCCTGAGTCTGCTAAACTTGGTATTTAACTCTTCCAAGGTAGTTAAGTAAACAGGCTTGAAGCAAAGGCAGACGTAGCTTTGCTCGAGGAATTGGCGCCAGCCTCCTGAGGCCAGGATTGCAAAAGGCGGAGACAGTTCAGCGGTCCCTGGGAGAGTCACGAGGTAGTGAGCGGGTGGGCTACACGGCGCATGCCCAGGACGCAGCTGCGCTCAGGTGACCGGAAGAAATAACCGAGTCAAAATGGCTGCAGAAAAGGGTGCGGGGGGAGCTGCTTCTTGCGGCACCTGCAGCGCGAAAGCCATGGAGCGGGTTCTACCTATGCTGTTGGTGCCAGTCCCTGTGGAGGCAACAGGGCGGCTGGGATGCCGGGCGCAGTTGCACAGAGAGCAGGAGGTTCTGGGGAGCCTAACAGCTGCAGGCAACCTGCAAGTGCTTTCCTTGGCTCCGGGCGGCCGGAGCGGGGGTGCCTGCTGCCTTAATGGCCCCTTTCGGCAGTAAGTGCTGCGGGAGTGCTGGGCAGTGGTGGAAGAGTCTGGAACCTTAGGCGGCTGGCCCCAGTGCTCTCCTCCAGGCGTGGAGGTAGCGGGAGAGGAATGACAACCGCGGGAAACAGCTCTGATGCGATCCGGGTGCCCTCTCGGAACCTTTTCCTAGCTGTGCAGCCCCACCCTCGCTTCCCTTTACCGGGGCGCAGATAAGGCATCCAACTCTTCTACTGGCCGCGCACCCGGAGCAGGTCCCAACGTGGGGGTTCTTTCATTAATTCAACATAGGTTAATTAATTGCTATTGTGTTGTGCACCTTGCCCATCTTCCTTCAGTTAAATCCCTTGAAGATAGCAGCTGGGGATCATCTCTAATTTGAATCATACTGATAACTTTTTCTTGTGCCTGAAACAGCGACTTCTGTATACATGGATTAACCTCGCCGCCCCTGCCGCCGCCTCGAAGGATAGTCTAGCTAACCTATTCATTTATTCATGCAACTGAATATTTATTTATTTATTTATTTATTTATTTGTCAGAGAGAGAGGGAGAGAGAGCACAGGCAGACAGAATGGCAGGCAGAGGCAGAGGGAGAAGCAGGCTCCCCGCAGAGGAAGGAACCCGATGCGGGACTCGATCCCAGCACGCTGGGATCATGACCTGAGCCGAAGGCAGCTGCTTAACCAACTGAGCCACCCAGGCGTCCCCAACTGAATATTTATATTTATTACATTTTAGTGTAATATTTATTACACGCAAACTGTTACATAGGAGCAGTCTACGACAGCTCTTCTATGTGAAGCTTGCTTGATTGGGAAGACAGAAGACAGGGAAAGACAGAAAAAAAAAACAATTATAATCGTGTATTAACCTTCCACTTCTGTAACTCTTCATCCAGGAGTTAGAGTTTATGTCATGAAGTGCCCTCTCAGTCTTTGGGCTCTCTCTCTTTTTAAAAGTTTTATTTAATCTCAGGGCTCAACTCACAACCCGAAGTTCAAGAGGGGTTTGTTCTCCCACTGAGCCAGCCAGCACCCCAGGGGTCTTTTTAATAATAGAAAACGTTTAGAAACCATTTCCTAAAACATTAAGTAGTTAAGAGTTGTCTTAGTTTGGAATCTCCAGGTTCTGTAACAGTGTCTGACAATAGAGATTTGTTTATTAAATAAACGAGTGCTGTAATCGTCTTACTCCTGGTCTCTAGTTGCTAGGAGGAAGAATCTCTCCATAGGAGAAGTTAATTTATTCAACTGTTAAGTACCCGTGGACACAGTCCCCTAAAGAAAGGAATGAGGCAGAGAAAAGGAGAACTCTTTAGGTTTGAGAACTTAACAAAGGACACACACTTGAAATAATGGGGGCATCCATAACTGACTGTGTGAAATTAGTGGATTGAAGGAGGATCAAGAAGGACTTTCTATTTGAATTGGATTTTACTTTTAATTCAGGTGCTTCATGGGGTAAAAATAAGGACAAATTTACAGTATTCAGGGCATGCTTATCTCAGAGTATATATGGTCCTTTTTTATATATGTTGAAATCACTGTACATCCTGTAGTTATTTTTACTGAAAATTTCCTGTCTTTTCACATGATGGTATAATTCATATGCTGATGATGTCAACAGTGTTGCTGTATTCTGCCTTTTAAATACACCTTAATTTGTTTAATCTTTTTCATATTCAACATTCAGGTGGTTTTCCAGATTTTCACTGTAAACCGTCAGGAATTGGGTGTTCATGAAAAATCACCAGTTTAGGTATAAAGATAGAAAAGTAAAGTACGTCAGTCTTTTTCTTTAATAAGTACATTAGAGCACCAAGTCTAATTTTTTTTTAGATATAAAATATACTCTTTAGAAAAAAAGCTTTTTTTTTAAAAGGTGAAACTTTATCAGCATGACAGCTTCCTCTCATTCCATTTTATTGTTTCCACAATTGGGCCCTTTTATTTTTTTTTTAAATCTTTTTAAAAGATTTATATATTTTAGAGAAGAGAGCGTTTGCTTGTGCACAGGGGTGTGTGGGGAGGGGCAGAGGGAAAGTGTGAGAAATCTCAAGCGGACTCCCCTGAGTGAGGAGCCCAGTCCTATGACCCTAAGATCACAACCTGAGCTGAAATCAAGAGTTATTTGCTTAACCAATGAAGCCACCCAGGCGCAACCCCCCGCCTTTATTTTTTAAATGTAATTTAATTTAATTTGAAGCTGTAGCATCATTCATTAGTCTCTTCCCACCATTGTTAGCCGGTGTTACTGTGTTGACATCATACTGCATAATTTTGTAACTCAGCTGTCCAGCGTGGTAGCCATTAGCTACATGTGACTTAGTAAGTTTTGCATTTTTCCTCAGTTGCACTATTCATATTTCAAATGTTCAGTAGCCCCATGTGGCTGTTGGTTACTTTATTGGAAAGTGCAGATGTATAGAGCACTTCCATCATCCCGGAAAGTTCTGTTGGACAGAGCTCTTCTATAGTATAGTATCTTGGAGTCCTCAAAGTCTGTAAATACAAATAGTCACTTTTAAAAGTCATTGAAAGCATTTAAGTTAGCAAAAGCTATTTTGTTCATTGTACCACCTCTTATAAATAATATACATATTTGGTTGTTGAAACTTATCCTTATGATCGTTTCTTTAAACATTTCATCAGACCGGATTTAAATGAAGGAATAAAAGCAGCCACCATTTATTGCTCCCTGCCCTCTTTGCTCCACCCACTCCAATTTGTTGGCCTGAGGGGGTTCAGGGAGAAGAAGAGGGATGTCCCAGAACAATTTACATTCCCTTGAGTGTAGGATTAATGCTACTACCGTGTGACCTAAAGAATTGTTCTTTACTCCTTTTGCTCTTCTGCCCATTGTGGGTAAAAATTTTTGTGGATGATAGAATATAATAATCTACGCTTTTTCCTTAGCTTTGTATGGGAGGATTCTCGTAACAGCAGCTCACCAACAGACAAACCCAAACTGCTTGCTCTTAGTGAAAGTTATGAACTGTTAA